AGATACGTAATACCGAAAAATTCTTTTCATTCGAAAATTCCATTATACAAGTATATTATGATAGTTACGCACTTTCTTTTCACTTTCCGAGTAAAATATCGGGAAAGGCAATTAGACCTTAAATAATAAAAGTCGTAATTTAATAGCAATTTTGTTACTCGTATAATAACAGACACAATTATAACTTGACGTGCAATTTAAAAATAATTCCATCATAGTCAGTCGGGCTTTTATCTTAATAAATCTACTAAAACTCAATTTTCTATGGCGCTTGAATACAGTCTTAAATAAATGTAACAGAAATTAAAGATTAACATTTTTTGGCATTATTAAATTCAAAATTTGATCTAGTGTCGAATTTAACCGCAAACATTAAATCATATTACACTTAAAAAGCCATTATTTTACAATTTTTCATTATTAGCCTTTATATTTGGTATAAAAAAAATTTTTATGAATATTTTATTATTTTGGTCATTCAAGAATATTATTCAAATTTTGAAATTTTTAATTTTCGCTTCGATTTTTTCTTTTATAAAATATTAAATCGATTTTTTTTTAATTATAAATACAATTTAATTATTTTTAACAATTATTATTAGCGTTTTCTCACATAAATCAGCAAATTTGTAATTTTATTAATTATTTTGAGCTGGAGGAATATTTTAATATTTTTATTTTCGTTTAATTATACAAATTTCTCTTTTTATATTTTAAATAAATAATAATATTTTGTTTTATTATTTAATAATAATTTTATATTTTAAATATATAAAGCTCTCAAATGTTTATTATTTTTTTGTTTTTCATTAATTAATTATTTTCATCTAAATTCTATAAATAAATTATTATTAGTACAAGCTTTTACTTATATGTATGTATTTATATTGAGTGAAGAATTAGACGCTCAAACAATTTAACGTATAATTAAGCAATGATATACAATCATAAACAAAACTAACTGTATAATAATTTTAATATTAAACCGAAAACAGTGATAAAGTTGGATCAAACTAATGGCTTGTGAAGTAGCACTTTTCCCTTGAACATGTAAAAATACTGCTTATAGAAAAGAATACTACATACATTTTATTGAATCGAAGTTCACATACCAAAATATATCACAATTAATTGCATACATTTAGGATGAACAAAAAAAAAAATTAAAAGAAGTGGTTAACATTTTAGTGTTAAATTAGACGGTTAAGTTAGTGATTTAAGATAAATAATTATGCTATTTGATGATTTAGCATATTTGCCGTCATCTTTTCGGTTTTATAGAAATTTGAAATAGGCATGTAGTTTCGAAAATATATAAAATACTGAAAATTCAAATTTTACGAATTTCGTTATACACGATAACTTGGGAGAGAGCAGAGGTGAAAAAAACTTTTATTTAACGAAATAAATTATTTATTAGTGTCTGAAAGCTGCTAAGGTTTCAAACTCCTACAAGTTTCAGTCTAAAAGAAAAATGATATAAAAAATTTAAAAATAAAAAATTTTGGGTAACAGTTTTGTGCCACTGTAGCATGTCGCTACAACGTCTCTTCAATAAATATTCAAAAATTTCATGTTTAGGATTTCGATAAACTATACAGAGACTTCTCAATACTGTATAAAAAAAACTTCTCAATATTTTGAGTAAATTTCTCTCACATTGAGTTTGAGTGAATTTTATGAATAGGAGAATAATAGAATGAAGTGTTAAATACCTGCATTGATTAGGATGTTGCCATAGTGTGATAATTAAATAAAAACATTAATTAAGAATATCTAATTTACAGTAGAGAACAAGTATATAAAACACAAATACTATGCCTAAATACTATACATATAATTATATGTATAGTATACTATACATATATAATTATTAAATACTATATACTATATAATATACTATACATATATAATTATTAAAAAATTAAAAATTATAAAAAATACAAAAAATCATAATTTGTAAAAAAATATTATTATTGAGTTTTTCTAATTCTTTCCAATTTTTTTAATTTAATAATTAATTTATATTTAATATTCACAAATTAAATTTTAATTTTAAATTTTATTCATAATATAATGTATATATAGCAATTAGCCTCTACATATTGTAAAGATTTTTTGACATTATTAATAATATAGATAATAAAATTTTTCTTAATTTATATAAAATAGTTTTTTTATAAAGATTTACAAGATTTTCAATTACGATAACATTTTTTTTTAATTTCATACATTTAAGCTATTTATAGAGAAAAAAATATAAGATGTATATATATATATATATAGATTAAAATCGATTAATAAAATATTTTATATAAAATAGAAAATGTAATTTATTTTTTCATATTTAAAATGTGATAGCAAAAAAGAATACTAATAGTGAGTTAGTTCTTAAAAATAGTATAGTTTTATATTTTGCAATATTTTTATAATATTTAGTTTTAAAATAATATTCAATTACATTTTTGTCAATGTATTCACAATATGTATGTATGTGTTTTGTTCCACACATCAAGCAAAAATAATTTATAGTTTTCTTTAACTTTTTTTTTTGTAAATTAATAGTGTATCGCTAATAAAATATCAAACATAACATTGAGGAAATTAAATACCCTTATTTTGATCGGCGAAGAAAATCATATTTTTGGCGAAAATAAATACCAAGCATTATGATCGGCGAATTCGCTGAAATTTTAAGCGAATAAGAATTCTGCGTGACAAACTTTGGGAAAGAAATTAAAAATCAAAATAAATAATTTCTTTTTTATCGTATTAGCTATTTTTACATTATGTTGTCATTTTTTAATTACTTAGTTACTACCAGGCGTACAAAACTATTCGCGAATCATAATTGGAAACATCATTCGATTCGCCTAGTTCATTCGACTCGCAAAACCATTCGTTTCGCTGATCATAATAAGGGTAATAAATAAATAAAATACCTAAGTATATGTAAAAATTTCTATATGTTTTGCTTGCATATATGTAACTATTATTTTGACATATTTTTGATTTTTTTTTTATTTTACTGAAACATTTTGTAATTAAAATGGTCGGTGGTTCGCGTCTCGAATCATAAAAATTAAATAAAATATTTTGTAATTTATTTAGTGTATAGCTATATAAATATGTATAAATATAATATATATTATACAATATATTATTATGTACACATGTACATAAATAATTTAAAATTATATTTACAGAATATTTTTGTTTTCATTTTTGTATACTATGTTTACAATCTATAATACATAATAATGGCAACTCAAAAAATTATTTTCTTTATTAATTTTGTTTTCCGGTGGTTTTATTGTACAAATTTATTTTTAGGTTAAGTTACGGTATACAAATTTATGAAAGCATGGTATGTACTTTTTAATATATATATATATTATTAAAATTTAAATATTTGCAAAAATTCTTTCAGCTACGACACACCCATTGTATTCTTCAGATTTTATGGGAAACCATGTTTGTGATAACGTACTGATGTGCCTGCCTTATGCGTTCTATGGAACAGAACTGATTTACTTTAATTTTTGAAGTTATAATAGATTTAGCAATATATGGCAATAATCTTATTATTTGCTTTGAGAATTGACTTTTACTTGGATTAAAAGTCAAATTTGAGGTTACATTTGCAGTATCACGCATAGTATAGTCAAACATGGTTATATGCACATACATACGGGCAGAATTTGTTTTATAAGCGTTTTTATGACTACAGACTACGGATATTAGTGCATAATATTCAATCTTATTTGATACAGTTCCTATTGTGATGTATTCATAATCATATTCCTATTTGATTAGAAAAATTACGCATGTGTCGCAAATAAATGTGTTCTACTGTGTATATTGTGAATTTTAGCAAAAATATTTATATTTTAATAAAAATATTTGTAGTTATAACAAAATTTATTTTACATTACTATTAGTAGCATTCAATTGTAGGTGATATGTATAAAAGCGATTTTGGTTTCACTATGTATATAGGTTAAGCAATTTGCGAATTCAATCAAAAAATTTAATATTAAATATTAAAGCAATTTAAGTTCCAATTTAATACAAAGAAGAGCTAATTAAAATGAAAATTTTTTTTTATTAGGAAATCCAAACAATAATAAATATTTTCGGATGAAAATATTTTAATTTAAAATTTTTATTGTCTTCTAATCAAATTTATTTTAAATTTTTATACATTTATTTTAATTTTATTTTTTTATTTAAAATAATATTTTCTAAGATGGCGTACAATGAAATATTTTAGTTTTAAATTTATATTTAGCATCATTAATAATAATTATTTATAATGTATAAATTTTGGTGAAGTTGTTCGAATTAGAATTATAAACTGCTAATCATAATAGTGAGAAATTAACGAATTGCTATAGATAATTCCAGAATTTTCTCCAAAAATGAGAATTGTCAAATATGACATGAAGCGCCTCTTAGCGCAATTTCTAAAAAATTCTCTAAATGAATTCTGTTAGTTTCGCTCAGTTTATACTTAGGGACAAGAATTTTGAATTAAAAATTAGAAAAAATTTTTTTCAACGAAACGAAATCAATTTTATATTCTAATTTTAGCAGTTTAATTTTTAATATTCTTATAACATTTATAGGGTATGTAATATAAGGTTTTTCATTTATGAAAATTATTTTTTTTAATATTATTGGTTCGTTTTTATAGTTTTTGTTCCATTTACTTTTTGTTTGATTCAAATATCTTTGTTTATGAGTACAATATAAATGCATTTAATTTTAACACTATATTTAATTTATTCGAATATCATTTTTGATTATTTTATATATATATATTTATTTTTAATTAATAAATAAATTTATTAATTTGTTTAAATACAAATTTTAGTTTGTTTTTCTTCCACAATACCACTTAACAATTTTAAATATAACTACTTATTTGTTTTAACAAACTTTTAATTATTATTTTAATTGAAAAGTTTTTAATATAAATACTTTGTATTACAGTTTATTTGTATAATTATAATATGTTTTATTGAAAAAACAAAGAATTAAATTCATTCAATTGTATTATATAAAATATTAATATTGTTGCAAGTACGGGAACAGCTAGAATTTCTTGAAATACAGTAAGATCTTTATCGTAAAATTATTATGAAGCAAAAACTGAGCTTAAATTTTAATGAGAGCATTCCAATAATGTATAGTTGTATGTGATTTAATAACTCAATTGAGAAATTTATGTTCAAAATAATTTACTAGATCAATTGTAATTTTAAAATATAAAGCTACTATGTGTTACTATGGATGAATTGGATTTAATAAATAAATATGCTCAGGTCATGAATGTTGAATTGAAATAACGTAATTGTTGTAACACAAAATTAGTTTAAAAAAAAAAGACTCTGTTATATATCTTACCGTATTTTTACAAAATATTCTTTTCTTTCTTTCATTTAATTTTCATTTTACTGTAAAACACATCCTGAATTATTTCGATTTATTCTAGTTATACCAAATGCATTCGATGGATTAACACTTTCACCATCACCTAATGAACATGTTTTTGTACGCATTATCATTAAATCAGTTCGAATACTTGGTCTTCGGACATTTGGTGCAACAACACCACATGCATCACTTAATCTTCGTTTTATTGAAAGTGTACATTTTTTAGAGCGATTTGATGCAACATGCGGTGGTAATGTACATGGTGATCCAAATGCTGTACTTACACGTTTATGATGATTTGGTGCCATTTCTAATGGTAAATTTGCAGCTAAAAATAATTCATAAAATAAATCATCAACACGTAAATTTTTTTTAGCTGAACATTCAACAAATACACATGATGCATCCTGTGTGGCACAATAAGATACAGCTTCATCAGCTTGAACAGTCCTAAAAATAAAGAAAATAATTTTTTTTTTGTTTTTATTATTATTTAATTAATTTAATAATTATTATTTTTCGAATAAAACTAAAAATTTTTAATATACTTCATTTCCCGGTCACATTTATTGCCAGCAATAACCATTGGCACTTTTGGTAAATTCTTTTTCGAACGACTTGAACCGCTGATTGCACTCATTTTTGTTTCTAATATTTGTTCACGTAATCTGATTACTTCTTCAAATGATTCTCTTGAATCCATACTAAAAACGAGCACAAATAAATCGCCTAAAAATATGTAAAAAAATAATATTATTAAAATCATTAAATTTATTGTTGTATATAAAATAAGAATTTCAAAATAAAAAAAAAAATCTTATAAACAATGTAATTACAACAAGCCTCATGCTATAATGTTCTGACAAGTCAGAGCAATACTCATGTCATGTATAAATTTTCGTTTAAGCTTTTCTCTGAGATTTGGAGCTCTCATATTTTTTTAAAAATTACTTCCCACCCCATATGCATATGCAGAAAAAATTTCCATTATAAAATTCGGCTAAAGTATATAGCCATCCATTTTATAATTCATTTTGAGATTTATTTGAGAAATATGAGAGAAAAGTGAGAATTCAATTTAATTTTTTGTTGAGAACTAATCAAGAACAAAAATTTCTGATAAATCTTAATCGAAATTTCTTATATATACTAAAAGAATATTATTTTTTCTTAAAAAGTTTTGAAATATTATATGAAAATAGTTGATCAGAACTCAATAAGGGTCATTATTTGTAAAAGTTTGACAATTAAATTGTAATTTAAACGTGTCTCATACTAACGAAAGTCTCGCCATTTTGATTTTAGTTAAACATGGCGCAGCAAATCTATGCTCTCAATTTTATAGAAAATAATAAATTGCTGTTTGCAGAATCGTTTGGATATAGTGGCAAAAACGTGAAGCTTTTATGCAAACATAAGAGTTTTATTAGATTTTCTAATAAAAGTTTTTGTGGCATAAAAGTCCTGAGTTGCAAGAGAATAACCAAATAATGAATGTCAATTCTATAATACTCTTGCTAAAATTTCATTGCAAGATGTGCAAGGTATAATCAAAGACAGCACAGCACAGTCAGATAACACAATATAACAGATTTCTTTATGCATTATTCTTCTTTATTTTTTCAATTTTATTTATCTCTTATTTTTCTCAAATTTTATAACTCTTTTCGATTAAAAAAGAAAAAATAAATAAGAAATAAATTTCAAGAAAATCTGTTTTTAACCACTCTCTAAATTACTACAGTTTTTTGTTCTTTTCTCTTTCTCTTTTACTTTCCATACACAATGAACTTTAAGTAACAAACAAGTTTACTACAGCAATACACTCCAGAGACTATGAAAAAATTATTTTTTTTTGAAACAATATTGTAAATTTAACTGCTTTAAGAATAATCTTGATTTGAAAGAGAAAAGAAATTCTATTTTATTTGAGCAAAAATTAAATAACAAATAAAGTATTGAGAAACAACATTGTAACGAAGATGCAAGGAAAACTTTTGCAGTAAAAACGAACAGTGTTGCTTTATAGCCATTATTAACAAAAAAAAAGAGAGAAAAACAAAATTTATAATAATTTTTATAAAAAAAGGGAAATGGGGAAAAATTTTTTTTTTTAGTTTTAAAGTTTTGTAATTTTTATAAATTTAAATTAAAATAAAATCCTTGATTACTCGAATGAAACGTACTCAATTCAATAATAATAATATTTTTTTGCACATTTACACAGTTGCACGTAGTTCTTTTTTAAATTCAGGAACAAAAAAAACAAATGAGAAAAATAAAATTCCCAAGAGTATAATTTTTCCCATAAACAAACAAAACTCAGTTGCATTGCATTGCACTTTGACAAAGAGATGAAGAAAAAAAAAAAGTCTTTTTTCTCTTTATTAAAATGTGAAAAGTTTTTTAAAATTTTTGAGCATTTAAATTGAATAGCGAATAATTAATAATAGGGGGAGTAATTATTGAAATATTTTTTTTTCTAAAGTTAATTAAAAGAAAATGTAATAATATTTTCGAAATATTAACAAAAATTTTTTGCTAATGAAATTTTATTTTAGAAACTCTTTAATAAGAAAAACAAGAAATAATTTAATTTTTATTATGCAGAAGAAATTGTATTTGAAAAAGATTAGAAAATTTGTAATTTTAATATTTGCTTATTTACAGAATAAATGGACGCCCTTGCCCAATTTAGAACATTCTTAGCTCATTGAGCATTGCTAGCATTCAAAGACAAGACATTCCAAATTTTAATATACAAAATAGTGGTAGAATATTAAAAGATTCTAGCGGACGATTATAAAGAAATTATTGCGAACAATGTTTTACTTTACATCAAATTAAATATACGACCCATGAGATCAAACCTTCGTTTATGTGATCAAACCTGATAACGTTGTCAGTAAATAAATCTCCTATATCAAAACTTAGTACTTCTAAGAATCCAGAGTCTATAATTAAAAACAGAAATTTGTTCTAAAATTTTGAAGCACTTTTCATTCACTTGCCTTCATTGTCTTAGTTTTAAAATATTTATTTTACATCATAATTTCTTCGTGGTACATAATTGAAAATCCTTGATTAAAAAATACTTCCAATAATTAAAAAAAATGAAAAATTTAAATTTTCTCTTGGTTCACTAGCAAAAGTTTCGAACCAAAAATGAAAAATTTCATTTTTTTAAAATTTCGTTCCAATTTTTTAATGTTGTAGTTCAAGTTTTAATCAAAATTTTGAAAATATATGGGAAAGAATTCGTACACTCATGTTGAATTAAACTGTTCAACATTAAGATATGTGAAAGAAATTTAAATATTAAAAAAGCAACCGCACGTACAAATTTATTTTAAGTAAATATTGAGATTAAGAAAAGTAGGAGAAGTATTTACGTAAGTGAAATTCATAGGGATTAGAGTGCCCTCGTGGTAAGTAGAAATAAGGAACATATGGTTTTGAAACATGTGACATGTGAATATTGAAGCCCACTGGCTTATAGAAAAAAGGCTAAGGATATAAAAACTGAGATGAACGGGAGCTCTTGATTTAGCCTAAAGTACTGAGACAGCATTTCCGTGTCTTCAATCACGAAATATAAACACAAAAACACGATAGAGCAAAATTAATGGCTAGTCTAGTTTAGTTAGGAAAGTTATGGTCACTCAAATCAGTTTCAGATTGAGTTGAAGTCCACCAATATCAGATAGGTCTGATGACGCCTATCTTTGTGCCTCGATAGTTTTTAATATCTGTAACGAAAAAATAAAATAAGTGCACCCGGAACCGTAGGCGGACAAAATACAGAACAAAAAATTTTAAATTTGATATCTAATTGGTATTACAAACGAAATTCTAATCCATAGCACTACTCCTCCAATCACAGCTTTTGGCGAGTATACAAGAAAAACCACTTAAAAAATAAAATTTAAAATTTATTACAAACTTTAATTTTTTTCTTTATTTTCCCTATTTTTTAATTTTCAACTTTTTATTTAATCTAGTTTCTATGATAGAGAAAGCAAACAAGCACCTACACTAAAAATTACAAAACTGTATAAAACCACGGAAACTTTTATCAGTGTATACAAAAAAAAGTGGGTATAAAAAAGGTATGTACATATAGAAGCTTACAAAAGATTAATTTTATCATTGGACCATGAAGAGGACAAGTTAAAATGTAAACATATTAAATAAACCTGCAGAACTGTAAATTTTTATTTAACAATTTATGTATATAGGTAAGTGTTATTTCCACTCTATGTATATACACATGTATACATAAATGTGAAGAGCATTTTTTCAATTAACACGTTTGAATAAATTAAATTGTCACACATTATACGTACACACACATACATTGGAGTGAATGGAGATCTATCGCATGTAAAAAATCAAGTTGAAAGCAAACAAACAAAAAAAAAACAGGAATAAATAAATCTGGTCAAGTTTTTTAACATTTAAAATTAATTTTTATCAAAATTGTTTCTTCACATATGTGACACAAAAAGGATTATGTTAATTTTAAGAGTTTAAGGCAAAAACCAAAACAAAAAATAACAACAAAAATAGAAAATTTTCCACCTGTTTGTGACAACACAGAGAACATTTTTCTTTTAGGAGAAAAAATCTCTTTCATCATTGTTATTTTAGGATAAAATTTTTTATATTTTTTTAATTTTCTTTTATTTTAAGGAATTTTAATATAGAATATTATTTTAACAATTGTTCTCAAAGGCAAAATGTGTACATATAAGGGTGAAATTTAATGAATTTTGGCCCAATGGTAGCTAATAAAAATTTAAGGTAAATATTTTCTCTCTCTCGCATCAAATAAATTCAAAATTTTCATATAAGAGATTTGGAAAGTTCCGTTATAATTAATTCAGATTTATTTTTTAGAAGAATTAAAATATACAATGACTAAATAGTGATTTTCACAATTTCTAGCAGTCGACTTAAAAAGCTTTCCAAATAATATATAAAACAATGCCCCCAAAATCGTTACCATAAAAATTTTTTTAGAAAATAGTAGCATGGAAAAAACAAATTACTCAATAATTCTTCAAATTTCTCCAAATTTATTTGAGATTCCGATAAAATATACCGATTAAACAAATCGAGCTAACTAACGAACACCCGGGGCGTTTTATGCGTTTTTGAAAGAGCCTTACATAACGATAGAGAGAGCTTTGTGGAGCAAGAATGTGAATAACAAGACATAACTCTGGGTGTCCAGGATATTTACTGCAAAAGCGGTAGAGGATATAGTCGGGTATAGCATGATAGGAATCTTCACAATTAGAAAGTGTCCACTGGATGGAATTCTTTCTCCACTGAAGTGGAGCCTGATAGTGAACGGTTTGCTTGAGGAGTTTGGTTGTCCTGATATCAGCGTCCAAGCCTAGACTGATGACATCTTTATCATCGTTACGGAAAAGTTTGAGGAGACTCTTTGCGACATAATGCAGAGGAGCCTGAAGTGTCTGCTTATAATTCGGCTATGTTGAGAAACAGTAGAAAGGAAAGCGGATTTCAAATACCAGAGTGTGGAATTTGATAGCAAATTTCTGTGGTGAAGAGATAAGGTAGCGGCAAGGACAAAAGCTACTTGAGCGCTCATGGTGTGCAGGGACATCTTAGAACGGTGGGAAATCCCTATATATGTTGGTCGTGGCGAACTATTATCCTATTTGTAGAAGCGGAATATGCTCTTTATAGTTAAGATCACATTGCCCTTTCAATATACAATAAATAAATTTTTTATCTATGTAACTTACCTGTTAAAAATGATAATCGTCTCATTGCCGGAAATGGATGATTACCAGATGTATCTAATAAATCTAATTGATGAACTTCACCTCTAATTCTATATAATTTTCTATGAAAATCTTCAATTGTTGGTGTATATGATTCTTCGAATCTACCACCTAAGAAACGTGCTACCAAAGATGTTTTTCCTGCTCTCGCCGATCTAAAATAATTTTATAATTAATATATATTATATTATTTTTACATAATCACTAAAGATCTTAAAAGGAGTAAAGACAATTAATGAGAAACAGATTTCTAATTAGTTTTACTCTCCACATAACAATATTATGTAAGATGAGAGAACAGTAATTTCTCACAGTTAAATTAATTTCTCTAAAATTATGTTATATTAAATTGAGTAAACCTGTAAACGTTATACGGTTCTTGTTGTGGTTATTATAAAATTCCAGTACATTGTTATTGATAATTAATTAGAATCACAAGAATGCCGTATGCTTCTTCACCACTAGCAAAAATTCTCAAAATAATTCATTTACAAATTACAAATACAAGATTAATCACAAATCACGTGTAGAAGAGAAAAAAGAGATTATTCGCATTTTTCCTTCCAATATCATAAGAATTTTCTATACAATAAAAAAACTTAGGTAAAACAAATCTTTATTAAAATTACTGAATTCAAAGCAAGAAGAAACTTTTATTCTCTAAAACCATACCGCAATTTAATATTACCCACAATGCATGTATACAACTATGTATAACAAAATTCACTGCTTCCGTTTCTTTAGAAAATTAATTACGGACACCACCATGAAAGAATATTTCTTTGAAATTTAATTTTGTTCATTTCAAAATATCAAAAAACTCTTAACAAAAATTAATGAAAAATCTATTTTGTTCAATATTTTAAGGAATAGAAAATCTTTTTCCCAAATATCTTGGGGTATACCTAAACATTTTGAAATACAAAAGAAGAAAACAATAATCTGTCTATTATGAAATTGAAAAATCATTAAAATGTGAAGGAGAATTCTTATTGAACTTTTACTGTAATGACAAATGAAATTTTCATTTATAGTAATTTTTTTTCCATTTTCCTTCCTTAGATTTCATGGGCATTGCCAACACATAATATCTGACTCGTCTTCTTCTTCTTCTTCTTCAGATTAAATATTTTTTTCAAGGACATTTTTTAATATTATATACGATAATAATATTGTTTAGCATAACCGAAGCCATATATCACAATATCATTAACTAGATTTGGGAATATTTTGTCTGTATATTTTATTAACAAAAAAAAAATTGAATTTATTATGAGTTTCTCATGGAAATGTTAAGGAAGATTCCATTATTCTTTCTTGTATGTACGTGTATAAATGTACTTGTACAAAATTTTCATATTAAAAACTTCATCTCCCAATAAGGGAATTAAAGTCACATTTAAATTTGGTTATGCGTAAGATTTGTGTTCGTTTGATAAAAAAAAACAAAATTTTCATAATTTTGTAATTATAAATTATAAAAGAAAAAGTAAATATTATATAATTAAGTAAATATTTAAAGGAGTAGCTAATATTTTTGACACTCAATGTAAATTTTAAAAATGCTGGAATTCATTATAATTATTTAACAGATTTGTCAGAATGACAATAACCGCACTGACAGAATTAATTATAGATTTGTCAAATTTTTTTGAGAATTAATCTCATTTTTTTTTAATAAATTTCACAAGAGTCTTTAGAAGTTTTAAAGATTTACTTAATTAAAAAGAAAAATAATTAATTTGATAAAGCTAAATTAACTTGATTAAGCCATAAATACGCAGACAATGTTGTCCGGTTGGCACAATCATACAATTATATACAGGCAAAAATAAGGAGTTAACGTACAGAAGATAAATTCACTTAGAATAGAACAGCAGAAATAGTGAGCAGTTCACGATTAACGAATCACCAATAGAGGATGTAACAAGACTCAGCTAATTTGATACTATCGTGGGAGTGGTGGTGCTGAAAAAGACATAGATAACAGAATTAGATTTGGTAGAGCGGCTTTCGGAAGAATGTGGGCAATATGGAGGTCACTACACCTAGCCAAAATTACAAAAATAACAATCTTTAATTTTTGCATCAAAACCGTTATTCTATATGGCAGCGAAACCTGGCACACAACCCAAAAAGGTATCTACAAAACCCAGGTATATTAATCAATATACCAAGATGCGTACAAATTATATGCAAGTTTTTTCTTTTAGTAACACTGATCTATGGAAACTAGCCAACGCGATATCAGTAAATGTGCAGATAAGAAGATAAAGGTGGCGATGATTGGGCCATACTTTGCTAAGGCCACCATTAGCAATTACCCCACAAGCTCTGGAATAGAGGTCTCAGGGTGAGTCGCAAGATGGGATAACGTCGAGCAAAATGGCGAAGAACAATTGAAAAGGAAGTCAGGGATAGTGGCAAAGCATGTACACAAGTAAGATTACTTGTGCAAACAATAGAGTGCGTATTAATTCGTTACGTTATAAGGAGCCTCAATTTCCTTTTCTGATGTATTCCAAAAAACATGAAATGTTCAGTATTACTTGATAAATTTTACAATTGCTATTCAAAAATTCAAAATTATTTTTTTTAATATTCAGTGGTCAATCGACATTTCGTTGAAACGATCTACCCTGAAATCTCCACAAAAATTTAATATCAATTATATTAAAAGTTTTCTACTTAAATTCCAAAAAAATTAAACTTAAATTTTTATTATTTAAGGTTTTTTTTTGTTTTTTTTTTGTGAATTTACGTATAGTAAGCGATTGATATGGTTTGCCTTAAGGCAACAATCATAAAATCAAAGGATATAAAAGTTTTCCATATATCTCTAAGTACTTCCCCTATTTATTTTTAATGTCATATATAAATTAACATTATTGCCTTGTGCCGTGTAATGAAAAATTCAATAATTCACATTCCATTTGCTTAACTGAGCAGAAAATTGCTTAAAAAAAATCAAAAACAATAAACACTATATTGGATATTAAAAAAAAAAAAAAAAATTTAATCAATTATTCTCGATTATCCAATTTAAAAAATTATTACTTTATATGTGAAAGCTGAATGGGTGGTGTATTATTGGATTTAAAAATTATTAAATTTTACGATAAAAACTTCAAATGATAACTAAATTATTAAAATATAAAGGGTATGCAAAAACAAAATGTCGAGGATATTTTCATAAAGTACAAACAATAGGATATTTTTATGTACGTGTGATGAGTTTAATCTGGTAAATAAAGTTCGTAGAGGTAAGGCTCAAAATATGGTCAGCTAATAGTACTGTTATTGAAAATGCTGCAAAAACTACAGCGATAACTAACGTATATAAAATTTTCTCATATCTTGAAGAAAAATAGGGAGCAGACGGAACGTGAGCTTTTCTTGAACAAAACGAAAGTAATAGAGCTTTTCAACAACTTTCCGATTTTCTCCACGTCTCCAGACCTCATCGCTGTCTCATATTAATGTGTTTACCGGTGTCGTCATCCGAAGGGGCTTTTTCCATCGCGCTAAGGTAAGTTGACCTTAAAGTGTTGGGGACGGATAGAAACCACGTTTGTGCCATTGTGAATTTCTATTGTGGATCCTACCCAGTAGAATATCACCTGAATAAATCTTATTCCTCTTTTTGTATATTTTCTGGAGACCATAACGAAACCATCAAGCATATCTTTTGTGACTGTCTGGCACTGGTTGTCCGGCGTCGTAATTGTTTCGAATAGGATTTCATAAGCATCAGGGTATTGCTGTCCAATTCCCTTATAGATATCTCCAGCCTTTTACTCGGAACAAGGATACCGCATAAGGGTTATAATAAGTTGTGAATGACTGCGATGGTCAATGGAAAATATTCTCTTTCTCCTATTGGTTTCCCTTGAAATCTACAATTTTCATTCTTTGCGTTATCAAATGTGGGTCTCCGAAATGCACTTTATTCACTGAAATCGCAGAATTTTATCACACATGCATTAGAATACTTTGAAATTTGGCTCTGTTAATTGACCTAAATGACATCCAATCAAGTAACATAACAATGAGTTAAAGACTTCTAGTAATCTTGGAATAATATTAAAGGAAGTTGTACAGTATTATAAAAATGAGCTTAAATTACAATAAATTCTTAATTTATTACTTCTTATGAATTTCAGAAAGGAACAACTTAATTACATAATCTTTAAAATCTTATACAGTGATCCAAAATATATGAAAACATAAAAAAAAATATTGGTTCAGTAATTACCGTTTTTCATACTACACTTAAAACACACACTCGCACACCATATACGTGTGTAAAGTACAAATAATATTTTGAAGTCTCTTGTAATGGTTTGTTGTAAATAATGTTTTACAAAGGGGAACAAGAATAATATACAAAAAGGATAATGGCTATATAACATGGTTATGTTATGGAACAGTGATTTGTGCTCGTTGTTTTTTTTCCTTTGTATCTTTTACACCCGTGATTGCTTTTTTCTGAGAAAATACGGAAGTCGTTAATGTTAACGAGTATATAAAATTTTTTGCATATTTTATTGTGGCATTCGATTTAATATTCATTTTAAATTTTCATTTTAAAAAATGTTATGTATAAAAAATTTCGATTTTTATTTAAGTTTTACTGCAGATTTGCTTTACCGTACAATTATTCTAAATGAAATCATTAAAGAGCAAATAAATAAATCTTTTTTAGGGGATGTTTTTTTTAAAGTCATAAATTTGAAATAATTATAAAATAATATAAATTTTTGAAATAATTACAAAATTTTTGGAATTTGGAAGCAAAATAGGTCTGATTGATCAAAATCGGCCAAAAATTAATAACAAAGTGAAAAATCTTAGTCGACTAATCACCGAATTTATTCGACTAATCAGTCGAATTTGAAGCAATGAATTCTATTCGGACAATTATATTTATATTAGATTAAAAGTGAAGGTTTTTTTAGGCAGTCAGTGAACGACTGCCCAAGATGAAGTAGTATGTATTGTACAACCCCGACATGATAATATGGGAAAGGTACCGGATATAACCGATAAATTTGAATATTTTCAAAAATCTGTTCCTAGTCACAGTTCTACCATAAAAACAAAACTATTCAGATGTTCACTCTTCTTATGAGTCAAAGTTCTACACTACTCTATGAAATACATTGAACCTTCAATTCTTTATTTCCCATACATTTTGTAATTAAACAGTTCCTAGTTAAAAGTTTTACGGGGAAGCCTTTTCATTTTCTCGGAAAGGTGTTCATAGTCGAAATGTAAATTTTTGTAATCGAATTTTAAAAAAGTTCTCTAGCCTCAGGAGGAGTTTGCTTGTCTGCTTCATCACTATGGTGACGATCTTATAATTATTCTCTCAATCTTTAGGCACTTATAATTTTTTTAAACAGTTACATTATGTATGGTACAAAATAGTAAATCTAACTATATAACATAAATTCAAAGAATAGTCAGAATACATAACTGTTATACAACAGTTTGTATCAATGTTGTGCTCCACAAATTGTTAAAGTCCATATAGTTTTATAAATTGACATTGCTGTAATTAAAATCATGTTATATTCATATTGGAATTAAATCAAAGAACTCAAAATAATAATTATATATAGCCATAGTGAAAGTCTTTGTACATCATAGTAATATTATTAACGTGCACAGCATTAAATTATAAAATATTTAATTAAATATCAAAATGGAAAAAATCAAAGGAAATTAAAATAATTATATAGCTACAAAGTTATTTTTTTTTTGTGTAATACACAACATTCTATTATAACAATATTATGAATATATTGAAATGAAATTAATTTAAACATAATCAATGATAATGTCATAAGGATTCAAAGTAGATTTAATTAATAATTTTCTCTTATACAATATGAAAATCATAAATAATAATAAAAATAATAATAATATGCGTATATAACAACAATCTCTTTGTATTTTATAAAATTAATATTAATGTTCCAATATAGCTATGCCACCTACATCATTATTATTAAATTGGCTCCATTTCTCCTCCATATACAAAATATATTGTTATACAACTAAAATTTACCATCAATAATTAAAAATATCAATAAAAGCGTTCCCAATATTCATCAATTTATTGATTAAAAAAAATTTTTTTTTTTAATAATAAATCATTGTGGGTCTGTACTTTTCATTAATGATCAGTCATCATTCATATATTTATTATAAACGTTTATTAAATTGTAAAACGAAAAATAATATTAAATTTTGGTTGTAATTCTTATGTTCATACGTTTGTATATATTTTATATATACATGTCAGTATTAGAAAGGCGAAATAAAACATCATTAGCATCATAATTTACAATATGCCAATTCAATTAATATTTTCTATATTTTTCTCTTTCTCTTATTTTCTTATATTATCTCTCTAAATTTTGATTAATGTACTTTTCATCGCCTATTTCTCTTTTTACTTTCAACAACTTTTACATTCATAACGCACAATGAGAACCATGATAATAATGATAACAATAAAAAAAATCACAAAAAAAAAAAAAAATTCTCTCATTGTACATTTTACTATTACAATAATACTTTAAATATAATATTTATACTGATTGTATACTCTTTGTATTACCGCTACTATACCATCATCAACATCATCGCCATACCATTATAATAAACGAACCGAAATAATTTAACCGAACAATCAAAATGAATTTGCCCACTAGCATGACAACATCTTAAATTTTACAACTAATATTTCGATAAGAAATATAAGAGAAATTCTTCTTCCTTTTTCTTATTTTCTTTGCTTTTCTTTCTCTTCTACTTTGTTTTGTAATCTCTATTATGGGAAATTCGGTAAAAATGTTTACACTTTATACAGCCGGAATCCTTTTTATAAAAAAAAAAATATGAAAAAAAAAATTCATTTCTCTTATTTAACCTTGATATTTTAAGGAAATGCTTAAGGCTATCTATTTTATAGATAAAGGTAGGATGATATAGTTATATATTATGAGTGTTTGTGTTAAATGTATCTATATTGAATCGAAAAGTAAACAATTGACGATAATGTTAAAAGTTGTTGTAAACAGAGAAATTCCTGTTTTGTCAGTCGTTCATTTTTTTTTTAAATCATTTAAAATGAAAAAAAATGGAAGAAAAATTTTGAGTTTTAGCGAATCAATAATATTTGTAAATAAAGTGAAATTTGGAATAATGAAATCTCCTAGTCACTTTAAAATTAACCGTCTGGAATTCATTTGGGTCGTTGATTAATTTTTACTGTCCTATGTAGTGTAAGCATATGAAGGTGAGAAGAAAAAATTTTTCTGAACAACCTTTAAGAGCAGTTTAAACGAAATCATGACATCAAGAAGAACCTCATTTAATGATTGAATCTCAAAATATTGTAGTTTCCTTCCGGGATTAAGTTAAGATTCAGTTTCTTTACAGGAAATGAATGAAACAGGTTGAACAGCTGGTATGTAAATAATATTGGAAAAAAGCAGACCTAATTCAAATATTCTTTGCTTTAAGCCGCTTTACTTTAAGAATTACTTGCTTTTAAGAGTTGCATCACTCTAACAATAAGAACCCAGACAAATACTCCAAATAAATAGTTAACAAAAAATATTGCATAAATTTATATGCGAAAAATTTTCCCATAGGATTTTCATTTTCACCTTTATAAATGAATACACAAAATTTTAATAGCATATTCAACGAATTATCCTTTAAAATCATACAGGCATCTTTTATTATAAAAAAACACAAGAAACACTTTCTGAATATAAAAATCTTCCAACCTTTTTGAAAATTTCTCTACGTTGAATACTAATGAATATTTTGTGAAAAGGTAAATTTAAAAAAATTTTTTTTTTTTTGGTATTCAAATAGGTACCATTTTTTATTTTAAAAGAAAAACACATACACGTTGAACGACAAAACGCGGTTGACCATTTATTTTAACATTTTATTCGTGATTGCTTACTCTTTCCAGATGAAGAATTCTTTTAAGACTTTAAGAAATTTTATGCAAATAGTAATGATTTCATTATAGATTTTGCAATTGTTGTAACAAAAGTGTTTTGCGGTAACAATAATATTTGCCGCCATTTTTTCTTTCAAAATGTTAAGTAGTCAAAAATCTCATTACACAATTGATTTTATTTAAAATGTTCAAATAGAGCGAGTAAATTCAGAAATGCTAAATCGTTAACACTAACGTGATTGTTGGAATATCAAATTAAAAATAGCTACAATCTGAAATTTGCTTCTATGTTTTATGCATTCGAGTACGGCCTATTATTCTTATAGAAGCAATCTTTCATATTTTGAAATTGAAAATTGAGATCTTATTTGAAAACTTCATCCCATATTAAAATTTGTGACATCCGCATTTTAACAAAATGAAATACCTTCACCGCTTCAAAATCTACTTTTTGCATGATAACTTAATTTCCATAATAAACCAACCATTAACCATTTTATACCGAAGTAATTCAAAACACAATATTAATAATAAGACCTTCAAAATGTGAAAATAAGACGGTAATCATAACAAATTTCACATAATTAATTATGCACTTTGAAAATAAAATAATGAAATTAATAAATTACGAGAATATACCTATTTACATACATATTTAATTGCTATATACAAAACCAAAAATTAAAAACTGTAAAATTCATAAAAATGACCGGAACGAGTTAATAAAAATTTTTTGTTTTTTAAATTGATTTCCCAAATTCCAAGAATTTTCTGAACTAAAAACCAACAGAGAATTTTTAAAAACCAAAAAAAACCCTAAAAACAAGAAAAAATAAGGAAAAGGACTCATTAATGTTGATGTATGCAAAAATTTGAAAACCCCATAATTTTTCAATTAATTAAATATTAGATGCCTAAACTTATAGACCTATGTAATTATTATGTAATAACAGTAAATATTAAATTATATTTTTTTATGTGTTTATTCGGATTTTTTTTTTTTTGGAAAATTTTTGGGGAGAACAAAAAATATTTTTAGGTTGCTTTTTAATAGAAAATAAATTAATAAAAAAAAAGTATTATCCTTGAACAAATGAAATTAAATGAAATGTTAATATGGAACAGTGGGGTGAATGTAATGGAAATAGTAACTACGCTGATGATGTCGCCTTTATCACCGGGGGAAAAATTTGAGAGCACGACTCCAGGGATGTTAAATATTTCGGGTTAACCCTCAGTGATCTCTTCCCCTGGAAAACTCATTTAGGCAGGATCATCAAAACGATAAGGCAAGGACGGCCTTGTTTACTTGTAGGAGTTTTGTTGTTAAAACTACTACCTTGGGGTATTAGTACTAGGGTAGCACTGTGGCTATACACACTGTAGACGGGTGCTAGTAGTAGACGGGTCGGCACCTATGCGTTCGTGGTGTGGTGTTGCAAGGTGGAATAAGTATGTTTACGAGTCGTATTGTGGAAGCTTCATTGTTTGTTTTGGAGTGATTGAAGCAAAGTGGAGGGATTTCATGGCTGCAATGGAGGCATTCGTTGGACTTCCACATAGTGCACTTCTACACTTCACTTCTACATAGTGCAGGGGGTTCACCTAATAATTTACTGACTTCTAACTAATGATGATGTCGCAGGGAAAAAATTGGCCTACAGCACTTATAGGGTTTACGTCGAAAGCGATCCGGCTCTCAAGATAACCATCTCGGACGTCTGTCTCCCACGGTATAATTTCGATTGTGAGAAAAAATCTACAGCTACGATAAAACAAAGGAAAAAGTTACGGAGGAGTATAATTTCATCAGTCTCTTTATATCCCTAAATGCATTTTTAAGTACTAAAGTTATATCTTTGCTAACTTGTTATGTAAATAATTTGATGTCGGCTGCGACTAGGTTTTAGTTGGACCGCTCGAAGACTGCCTAGTTCCAAGAGAAATTTCAAGCAATATAGAAATCCGCAAAAGAAAAAAACAACTCAAATTATTAATCACAACACATTTTTTAAAATTAAATTTTCTTACCCAAGCATTACAAGCCGATAACAATTTTTGGGTGGTGGTTCACTATCATCACATGATCCTGAGCTACCAGGACTTGGTCCAGGTCCTTGAACAATTTCATGTGTTATTTGATTTGATGGTTTTGTTGGTCCATTAATTTGTTGTTGCTGTTGATTATTTGATAATTGTTGTTGTTTCTGTTGCTGTTGATATTGACTTGTTATCGGTTGCTCTTCATCATCAATTTGACTATTACTATTACTACCGCTACCACCACCATTTATATCATTAAATAAATTATTATTGTTATTATTATTATTATTACTATTATTATAATTATTACGTGTACAAAACCATGTACCACATTTATTAATACGTGTTGAACATTCCATACTGAATGTTCCAATTTTATCACCTAATTCCATTAGATAATTTTTTGTTTTAATCCATGCTGATTGTATACCTGATACTGATAATAACGGATCACCTGATGTTGATGATAATTTATCAATATGACGAATTTTAGCTCTTGGTGATATCGTTGAATTTTTAAGATTTGATTTATTTGTTTTGTTTTTATTTGGGGATTCAATATCAACATCAACATTTGTTGTAGCAATTGCTGTTGTTGTTGTTGTTGTTGTAGTTCCTGTATAAAGGATCTCATCACAGTTAGTAAGATTTTGTTTTGATAATATTGTTTTATTATTATCATTATAACCATCACCACCACTTCTAATGTGGAGTGGTGATGGTTTATCATAATCTTTTTGAATTAATCTTGTCGTTTGATCTTGAAATCTTACAGAAATTTTGATTTATTTCAAATAAGATTGATATTAAAATTTTTAATAATTTATAGTCTAATTAAAAATTTACAATTTTATTATGACGTCTATATTAAAGGTTGCTCAATTATTTTAAGAATTGTCTCAAAAGTTCTTCCCAATTAAATTGTCTTACAAAAATTTTTATGTAGAATTTTTATTTTCCTTTGATGAAAATGCTATCATTTAATCCAAAAATTTATGTGAACTTTGAACTCTTATTGATGAAAATTACATATTTTCGAGATCTCTGAAATAAATAATAAGAAAATAAAATTAAATATTGTGAAAATTGATAAAAATAGAATTTTTTTTTGTATTTATTGTCATAGACTTAAAAGGAATAATAATGGAATTATCACAAAATACACTTATGATTTTATTGCTCTTAACTTTCTGATGAGTCAAATTTATATTTATTTAAAGATGGCAGTCAATTTTCTTTCATTTTCTTTAAGAAAACAAAAAGTCACCTTTGATATTTTGCCAAAATTACAATGATTATGAAGTATGGAATTTAATACAAGCTATACAAAGTTACTGACAATAGAAAATGTGAATGATTTTCACAAAGTACTTAAGCTAATGTATGTATATATGTGTTATATATAGGCACACTAAAAAATTTCTGAACTGAAAGAAGTCTGACGATTATTAGATTAAACCTTTTGTTAGAAAAATTAAATTTTTAACTAAGACCTGCCATTAATTTTTCATATTCAATTTTGTATATTCATTTGAAATTAATTGAAATTTTATGAATTAAGCCTGAATATTAATTTTAATTAATTTAACAAAAAAAAAATAATAATTTAAAACAATTGACCATGAAAATCTTGCCTATAATATTGCCATTTTGTTGACTTTATTCTCCATTTAATTAATTCGAATTATTTTTTGAAAACAAAATTAATTTATAACAAAATTTGCCCTCTGATTACTGCATATTGTAACTGATTCTCACTTAAATTTCTGTTAAAATACTAGAAGACCATACACCCATTCCGCTTTTACTAAAAAAACATTTTAATTAGGATGCTATAGTACTTTTTTCTAATCAGATTTGGAAGGGTCGGAAAAATAATCAAAAGTGAAAAATAATTTTTTTCCTCTTACAATTAAATTCTAATTTCATATTCACTTTCATTGTTATATTTGAATAGTCATGGTACACCTTTTATTCTAATTGAATTGTTCTTTTAGTGCCGAACCAAAAAAAGAAAAATTTTCGTTTTTTTTTCTCTTAAAAGCAAAATTCTTGAAATCCCTAATAAAAACTTGTTGAGTTTCTATGAAATTTATAATTAATTTACTCAAATATAAAACAAGATTTCCAATTATTTGTCCAATACGCAGTTGATATGTCAGTCAAAATTAAATTTTCTTAAAAAATACCCAAGAGACGAAAATTGAAAAAAAAACAAATTCAATTTACTTTGATTTCTTAAACATTTGTGTGTTAGTACAAGCATATATAAAATAAAACATAGGCTCATGTGAGACCATTTAAAAATTTCCTAATGAAAACAAAATTCTTCAAAAAACTTTGAATGACAACCAGGACCAATCATTGAATTTAATTGAAAATCATTGTTGTTTCTTTGAAATTTCAGATTTTTCTCCACTTTTTCTCACGAACATTAATAAAATCCACCAAAGAAAGAAAAAATAAATTGGTACTTGAAAATTTTTTTATTAAAATTGGCATATTTTCAGGCTTGAGTTTAATTTTTACAAATTTTCTTATTGTCAGATGTAGTCACCAGAAATGGGGAAAAAATATTAAAGGGGCCAAATTTTATCAAAATTTTTGTAAAAGAAAAATAATTTTTAAAAAATTTGTTTTTTAGAAGAGTTTTTCTTTAACTTATTTTAAGAAAAACCCATAAGTTTTATGGTTTCATGAATGCGTAAATAACTCACAACCAGAAAAACGTTATGTTATGAACGACATGCTTAACTGACTTGCAAGACCAATATGCATGTACAATGAGCATAACAAACGTGTATTATATTTGACCAACATGAATGACCAATGTGAATGACCAACTTGCATGACCAACTTGCTTGACCAATTCGCATGACCAACTTGCTTGACCAATTTGCATGACCAACTTGTATGACCAACTTGCATGACCAACTTACATGACCACTTGCATGACCAACTTGTATCACCAGCATATGCATAGTCAACAAATTGGTATAAAAGTCGTTGAATTAGTAGCAGCATTCTGAAAGTTCATGGTAATCCGTTTAACAGCACAGTTAGATAGTGTATAGAGGACACATAAGTAGACACAAGTCCATTCATTTTGATGGACATATGTATGCATGTATGTCAGATTAATATAGATACTTACATATGTATGACAACGTAAAAAATTTTTTTTCCTATTTGTACCATTGTTGGTATTGAAATATATAGAAATCTTAATCTCCCCATCAAAATGGATTTAGCATGGAATTTCTCTTGCACATTGCAAAAAGTCCTTTCAATTCAAAGAATTTTTGAAGTTAAAAAAAATAATTTCCAAAATTTAACAGATAGTGAACGTTCACCACAATCTAATGAAAATTTCAACATTCCAAATTTAAACACAGGAAGCTTTATATGGGATATGATGACAGTAAAATGAGATATACACAAATATACATATGTATGTACGTACAAGGCACAATATTATGAGTAATATTGAAAAATAATTTTGTAAATTCAGTAAAGAATAAACCAAGCCAAAACCAACAGAACTGATGGTAAATGTTGGTAAATAAAAAATTAACCTACAATTTATATGTGCTCCCCGTTATAGCTACTTGCTTTTAATTACCATTATTTTTTTTAAAAATAAAATTACTTTGATATTTTAAATTTTTCTTTTTATGGTTTCTCTTAAAAAATGAAATATGGTTCTCTATATAAACATACATACATTGTTACAAAGTTAAAATAATTTTTATGTTGTCTTCAATATCATCTGTTTTACCAGCAAATTAATTAAATTGTTATTAGGTAATTTAGCATAATAATACAAAGTTCTTGTCTTTTGTTTTTTGTTTCTGTTTTTGCGGTCTTAGTATTGTGGTACATGTTTTACTTAAATAAGGGCAATTTTAAAATTTCTGTAAAATATTTTCTAGATAAATATTTTCTAGATAAATAATTTAATGTACATTAGTTTAGTACCCTATTGGAATTTAAATAAAACGGAAATTGATGGGTTTCTTCATTAAAATTAAAGAAGTTCTATTACAAGTAAATTTTTAATTACGAAGTTATGTTGGCATATATTCAACACAATTTTTAACAATTTAACACAATTTTTTTCTTGGGCCGAAAACCGCACTGGCATCTCCTGGGAGTGAGCCCCGGTATTGGCGGAGGATAGATGGGTGATTGAAACGATCAAAGTTACATTCGTGTTGTGGTCATGTCTCGCGGCAAATCTCTTGCTTTGTGAGTTTCAGCCCTATATCTATACGTCAACTGACGTCAGGCGTCCCAAGCATATGCTTATGACTCTGTGGCTAAGGGTGAGGCTAGTCGTTAATATGCGGACTCTGTATACCAAGCGCCCTCCAGTTTAAACAAGGCTTTCCATGGTATGCCGGGCTCTGCCGTGGGTGATTATACTTTCCCGCGCTACTCGTGGGAACAAAATGGAAAATGGAAACAATAACAACAACAACAACAAAAACAATAACAAGAACTGTGACAACTACAACAAAAACAACAATAACAAAAGTGACAACTACCAACTACAATAATAATGACAATACTAAGGATAACATTAATACTAACACGGTTAGTGCTCAAAGGTCTGCGGAACCAGAGATTCTCTTGACTCACGCAGAGGAGGAACTCATACTCACGTCAGTAGAGGAAAAGGCGGCGACTCTGATGGAGACGGATAATTAGGATCCCCTTTGACCTATTATCCAACAAACTGAGGAGGACCTGAAAGGCTTGGATATCAGGGGAAAAAAACAATATTTCTCTCGTATATGCAAGCGGCGTATCGCAGCATATATCAGAGATGGCATGTCTCCAGAGGGAACTCGCAGATATGACAAGGAAGGACTCGAGAAGCTGAGGGCCTGAATATCGGATGTTGTGATCAACCATCCCCAGGAGAGGGAGAGGTCAGAAAGCAACACCCCGGATGCAGGACCCTCAAACAAGAGGTCGATGAAAGGCAATGTTGAGGGAAAGGTTCCTGGGAACATTCCTCAACAAAACCCAAAAATGACTTCTTATCGGGATGCAGTAGCACAGCGAAAGATGGACATCACTCATAAACTGCATCCAGAGGAAAGGCTATCCGAAGTCCAGATGGAGAAAATCAAAGTAGCCATAATGGATGAAATGGATAAAGTTGTGGATTCTCATCTACAGTTCACTGCACCGTTGCAAAGGGATGAACAGATTAATAATACATGCAATAATCAAAATACCAAAACCCTAAACAGCATGACTGCGTCACCTACGTGCCAAAGGACGAGACAACCGTCTCTCCTGGGACAAATTTTTAAGCAGGATAGGGAAGCAAAATCCCAGCCTCAAGATGAGTTCCTGGAGGGTGCCGTTGATGATTCCGGCTTGGAAGATCTACGGCAACCGGAGTTCCGACTTTTCCTGAACTTCTTCCATGTTACCGTTCGAGTTAAAAGAAAGAAATCCTTTTTTATCTTAATGGAAATTTCTTCATACAACTGCAGAACAGATGGATGACGTAATCAAAGGAACGAGTTAAAGGCAGAAAAATTCATTAAAAAAATTTTTCTCCTCGAACTGGACTCGAACCAGTGACCTACCGCTTTCTAGGCGGACGCTCTACCAACTGAGCTACAGAGACATGAAGAAATTGCCGACGAAATGTTCTCTACATTGCTTATACTGTAATTCACATGATTACTAAGTATTTGTTTTGTTTACATTGATTGCTACATACAATCTACTTTTGAAACACACAATAACAAGAACATATATATTTATAGGATTGTGCCTATTGCACTAATTAAATTATGAATTTTACTAATACAACATCATAGTTGTGGAATTAAAAAGAAGGTGCTGGCGACAAGGCAGGACAATTTAAAACACTAACGTCCACTGCGACAACAACGAGCACTTCAGGCCAGCTAAAAGAGTCAAAACTTATTGGAAAGTCTGAAGTCGCTTTGAAAATGGCGGCAAGGGAAATGGAAGTACCAGCACGCCAAATACAAGCGTCCCGGGCGAAAAAAAGGGCT